CGTCGTGGAATTTTTCCACCCTATGAAACTGACTCGAGATCAAACAACTTCCCTCTGCTGCACGTGGACACATCATTCACAGCTACATGCATTCATAGTCGTTTTATATTTCATCATTTATTGCTCTCATCGAACGTTTACACAAACTGGAGAATAATTATTCCAGGTAACGCTCGGAGAAGTCATTTCCCGTTCACATTTCTTCCAGTTATACATTCACGCATTAGCCTTCACATGCACCATAAACTGGACAAATCTGTTCAACCCACATATGCAGGATCCACTTCCTTTATAATAATAATAAGTGTATATNGTGTATATTTCACGGAGACCCGTGAAGCATATATAGGCATGATCGAATGCACAACATAATCATCCTTATATGAGAAGCCGAAAAGGAAAACTTTGAAGGTCGCATTGAACATAATTACAAATGGGACACAAAGTGGGCAAGGTGTCAGAGAATAAAGTTTGAGATGGCAGAACACTCTAAAAGAGCAAGTTGGTGGACGTAGGACGAAAAACAAGAATCGTTATACCGGATAAATGATGAGATAATTGGAAATACGACAATCGGTGAGTAAAGTAACAAGAGGCAGTCTGCAGATCGTTGGACGGGAAAGGACAGAAATGGGGGCCACTCAAAGTGTGCATGATGGGGAAGCAGCCCAGTAATTAGAAGATTTGATTGTATCTTGCTTTTGGTTTTTCAGTTATACTCCGAATAAATTCACCACTGGATATCGTGCCAATCTAACGGAAGACGCCGTTTTTTCTTACAGCAGCAGATCTTTGGAAAGGAATACAGAAACGCAAAACAGTCTAGGTTGCAACCTAGCTGATGAGGGAGTGGGAGGGAAGCAAGCATGCAAGTCATTGCGCAATTTAATCCAAGAAGTTTCGGACAGTCAAGTGGACGAATACAATTAGTATCTATAAAAAAGTTACCAAATATTGCCAATAGACAGACTCTGCAATGCCGAAAAAGGCGGATTAAATAAATCCGATTTATCACTACGGTATAAAAACAAATTGGGCATGTAAAAAAAGTATTCACCAGAAGAATATCCATTCCACTGATCAGCCATGTACATTGACCAGTGTACTGAACCTAGAATGGGTGTGAGGGGAACACTGCTGCCTGGTCAGCATGTGCCACGGCAGTGGATGGAATGAAACGTATTGCGAACAGATGATAGGGATGAGATGTTCAGAATGATGGGTGACAAACCTAGTGTAAGTAACCAACGGGTAGTTTCACTCTAGACCAACGTGCGGCAAAATGCAGGGGCCCTTGTAGTCATAGTTATGACATCTGGTTTGTGGTTTCACCACAGACACAACCACAAGGCGGTGTCTCCAAATTCGGTACCTCGACTGTATGGTCGAAGTTTGCTTATCACCATCCTCCTAGGGGGAGGCTAATGAAGCGGTTCTTCAACCGACAGTTTCGCAACGTCAGTTTTCTCTTCTTACCTCTTGTTTTTCTCTAAGTTTCTTGATAGATCCATTCAAGCTGGACGTAATCATCCAATCACGTGCCAGAAGTACTTTCACCCTACGCTGGTGACTAACAGCAGGATACGTTCAGTTTCTAACCGGTCCTGTATAATTGAGGACTATCAAGGCATGGTACATAACCACGGAATACCTATCAGAACCATTAAGGTTCAGAAATCAAGTAGCGACTTAGCTTATCGATCAGGTAGCTAAACTACCGTCAGGTTTTTTCCTTCTTCCTTTAAGGACCCTTATCCACCGGACACAATCAAGTGTACCGTCGAGATTTAGCATTCATCGCCATTAGTTGGCGATAGCTATCCTCTGAGGAAAGTTTCTCTATTGGATAAAGCAACTTGGACATTTCCAGGATCAAGTTTTACTTCAACTATTAGCGTTCTTTTAATGAACTCAAAAAGCGTGCACCGACACAATTCCCCACGGTGAGCTCTATATCGCACGCTTTAGTTGCATTGATCAGATCTACTTTCAGGTTTTCGCTGCCGTTGCTTAAAATTCAGCCTAGGCCTAGCTAAATCTACTTCCAACCTTTCTGAAGATCTCAGAATATATCGTTTTCAATAAACGCAATCTCTGGTTCTGTTTCCATTTGGGACGAATATTCAAAACGGACGTGAGTAAACATTAGTGACAGGTTCTGACGAATATCAGCAATCATCTAGTCACTAAAGCGCCTTTGGAATCACAACTCCTACATCGAATAAAATGCAACCCTTCACAATTGATAACGAATCTTTCCGTTGGAAGAACCGATGCAATTCTGTGGAGTGGAACAATTTTGTCCAACGAGTGTGGAAGAATTGTGTAACCTTCTTGAGCAGGGAGTCCTGTCGTGTTTCCTCCCGGACTTCTTCAACTTTTACTGGTGTATTGCGTAGAGCATCGGGAACGAGGAATTTGACGTTTGGTTCCACCGATATCGAGGCAATAACTCCTTCGGGCTCTGACCATTGAGATTTGATAAGCCTTGACAGCGCATCTGCTTGACCGAAGGAGGTAGTTGACTGATAGAGGATCTCCAAATCGTAGCTGGGAAGGATCATTGCCCAAAGTTGAAGGTGGTTGGCAGTATAGACTGGGATGCATTTGTTGGAGCTGAAAATTGTTATCAGTGGTTTGTGGACTGTGAGGAGTATGAATTTTTGACCGTATAGCAGTTTATGAAACTTCGTCACAGCAAAAATGATAACCGGGGTTTCTTTTTCAATTTGACTGTAGTTTTGCTCCATTGTGGTTAATGATCTAGCGATGTGAAATGGCCTTCCGTGATCCATCTTGGAATTTGTGAGAGACGACTGCACCAACACCACTGTTTGAGGCATCGACTGCCAAGTTGATACCAAGTGCCGGGTCGCCATGTGTCACAAGCAGTTCTGAGCCGAGCATTGACTTGAGACAATCGAAGGCGTTCCGTTGATCAATGCCATGGTTGGCCTTTGGCTAGAAGTTGGTTCATTGGGGCTCAGACGGGATGTATGTCAGGAACATATGCGTTGTGGTCACTTGAGATTATTTGAGTGTAGCCAAATTCTTTGGTGGTGACATATTTTGTACGGCTTTAATGTTCTCTGGATTTAATCGACGGCCATCTTTGTTCAGAATGAAACCGAGATACTTGATGGAGGGTATGAATAAGCTGCATTCATCTTCTCGGATTCTAAAACCATAATTTTGCTCTTGTCAAACTTGCCAGGTTGACTTCTTAAACATTCTTACTAAAGCATTGGATTCCAGTAAAGATTATATAGTAGTATATCTATATATTACCAAAGCTTTTGACAGAGTTTCGCGTTCACGACTTATTACCAAAACCTGATCTTATGGGATCGGTAATCCACTTCACTCATTGTTTTTTTCTCAATTATCAGATTGCTTTCAGGTGGTTTTGATAGAAAATGCTTCTTTCTATCCATAACCTGTTACCAGTGGCGTGATTTAAGTTAGCGTATTAGATCCTTCATTGTTTCTTATGTATATGAACGATATTTCAAAATCCATTCATTGTTGAACTCCCTCCTTTTCGCCTATAATGTTAGAGTGGTTTACTCTTTCTCACTAAATAAGCTAATTAACGTCTTAGACGACATTCTGTCAGACCCTCTTGCGCTTGATCGTTGGTGTTCTATATGGTTGATGACTTTACCGGTAAACAAAGGTAGCATACTGTCTTTTTGATGCCAAGTGCCTTTGGGTACTTTGACTATGAAGGGTAACCCTATTGCCGATTCCTTATCCACTCGTGACCTTGGAATCAGATACTCTTGTTCTCTTAACTTCTCGGAGCATTGCGTTTTGCAAGTAACCAAGACCAAACGCCCAATAAACCTTTTCTTCAGGACCTTCAATCTCCGCGAAAGCGTACTCAACCTGTATAAATCTCACACTAGACTGTTGTTGCAGTTTTCCTCAATGGTGTGCTCCAGCATGAGAAAGCTGGATAGAGTACCTACAGAGAACATTCAGCGAAGGTTTACTAAACAAATTATTGGCTGAACCTCAGAGTTGAACTACATGGAGCGATGTCTCCTCTTAAACCTCGTCTCTTCATGGTTATGCGGTGCAAAACTTAACCTTACTTTTCTGCACGGATTCCTTTATAAATAGGCCCCTTCCGGTAGATGTTATCCAATTTGAATTTACTCTGCCATACCAAATTTGTACCCATGTGTACGTTCTCTCCTTACCTAATTATACAACAAATACTAGACGAAAATGTTTCCTAGGTAGTTAGTTACGCCTCTGGAATAAAGGTTCGGTCGAAATAAGGCAAATAACGTCCACCAGCATCTAGGAATTACATCTCTTGATTACTCACTTTATCCCAAATGACCCAATTGCACAATCATCACGACGAATCATTATCTTGTGAAAATGGGTTAGAGTAATAAACGTCAACGATAGATCTTAGTATACGAAATATTGTGGTACGCACTTATGAAGTATTGTGATATATTATTCCTTACTTGATACCATTCTGATCTAGTTTTTCATTTGACTCAGTAGGCCCAATCCTGTGGAACATACTAACCAGGTAGCAGTGTTCACTTTCTCAACGAGAATCTCATCAGTACACGGAATCCGCTTCAACGCTGGATCTTTGGAAAATGATCCATTTTTGTACGTACGTTTAGAAGTATTGTGATCCATTAATCCTTAATTGATAATCTTCTGATCTCGTTTCTCATTCGACTCCTTTAGATCAATTTCGTGACACTTGTTGATCAGACAGCAGTGATCACCTTTCAACCCATCTCTAATCAGTACACTGGTTGAGCTTCAAAACTGGATTAGTGAGAAATAAACCTTCAAGGTGAAAACTCACACTGGATTTGACATCCATAATTCTTGACAGTTTAATTCCATCCTGTCATGTCGATCCCTCTGATTCACCTTTTGTCAGTGGCATAGGCTGATCAGGCAGCAGTGTTCCCCTATCATCCCATCTCTATTTCAGTTCACTTATACAGCTTTAAAACTCTATCGGTGGAATATAAAGCCTAATTTTTGAATACATTCTCACGCAGTCACACAGTTTTCCTTCATTGGTGAACCTCACCTCTCAATTCTCCTCCCAATATGCCCTGACAAGGTGCTGGATACAGGTTTCTTTTCTCGACGTTTTATTAGTACACAGATGCAGCTTTGAAGAATGAACGGTGGTGAATTCCTCTACCAGTATAGACACTAATAGCCCTCTTTCTTTCACATCTTTACTGTTCCATCTGTTCTCACCAACCAACAAGATTAACATTTAGCGGCATTCACATTTGCGTCTCAATTCTATTTCAGTACACTGATAAAGCTTCAAAACTTTATCAGCGGAATATACAGCTTATTGGCGAACACGTTCTAAAGTATGGTCACCCGGTTCACCTTTTATGGTAACCCCACACATCACACCTCTTGAATTGCCCTCCAAATATTCCGCGACACGTACAAGCCCAACTGCTGTGTACACGTTCATATTCATGATTTATTACCATTCTACGGATGGAGCGTTCCAGGCCTCCAAATCTTTAAAGGTTTCCACATTTTCACTTTATCGTTCGAGCTACGTTTTCCCTGCCCATTTTTATCTTACATATATATATATGTATACTTTAGGGATTTCACTCTCTCCGCATATTCCTTTGTAACATGCTGCTCCCCCGCCCCTTCTTAGCTGGGTTTCACCCCAGACTGCCAAGTTTCGCCTTTTTGTTTCAGATTCGGTTGGCTTGGGCCTGCCGAAGGCATGGGGTCTACACCCACAATGGACATTTTGGCTCCGGCAATGCTTGTTGGTCGCGGCTGTCTCCACCTTTTTGAATACATGCGTCCCATTCCGGATCAGGTTGAGGAACGCACCCCCTGTCTCACCTATAAGGTGTTTTAAGTTTTAAGTTGTCTAGCATGTAGTCAGTCCAACATCAAAGCGACCAACGCCTCAATAATATAAACCAGACAATCCGTTAACGGTAAAGCCCCGAAGCCCATTGTTCCGTGATCACAGAAGACATTACACCTGTATAGATCTTTGAAACCGTTTATTCATAAGCCATTTCTCGTCTCTTTTGTATCACTGTGATGTTCGTTAGCTCCACTGCAGCTCTCTCTCGGAAATTATGAATCTTTCTTCTCCACTATAATCCTTCTGCTCTTCGAACTCGTTTCCGCGCATTTTCTCCTGAGCGGATATTCCAAATTTAAGTTTTGTGTCTTCCCAAGTGTTCGTCATAAGATAAACGTTCACACTGATATGCTCTGTATAACATATCACCACCGGTACTCCATTATATGACCTTGTCAGTGTTGTGTTTCTTTTTCATCGCTATGAACATTTACGATATCTTCCGTACCCGTTTCAAAAGTACGTTTTTACCCTCTCTGTACCATACCTTTTGTCTGAAACATCATTTTCTTATACTGTTGTACACTTCATCATACGCACTAGCATGCTTCACGAGCTTTGATAGATATACCGTTATTATTATTAATTTTATTATTTTCTTGAATCCGTTTGAGTATTGTATTCAATCAAATAAACACTTCTTCTCAGGTGCGGCCCATAACGATTATATCATCCAAATATGTTGCAGTACCCGTGATACCATCCAACATCCTGTCCATCAGCTGCTGAAAAATTGCTGGCGCAGACTTGACACAGAAAGGCACACGATTGTACTGGAACAAACCCCGATGAGTGTTTATCGTCAGTAGCTCGTTTTAGTCACCAGCAACGCTTACTTGGTGATATGCATCTATCAAGTCAAGTTTGGCGAAACATATTCCAACATTCACTTTCGCGAACATGTCTTCTGGTATTGGAAGTGGATACTGATGATCTAATGAGGCGTTCAGACCCATTGAAAAATCGGCACAAATATGCATCTTGCCATTGAGTTTCTGGACAACCACAATTAGAGCTGCCCATGATGAGTAATTGACCTGTTCGATGACGCCAGATTGTTGCAATCGGTCTAGTTCAGTGTCGACTGATTTGATGGCAGCGTAGGATACAGTGAGTTCGGATTTGAACACTGGCTTGGAATCTGGCCTTAGTGAAAGTGAAGCACGAACCTTTGTGCAATTACCAAGGCCTTTCCGGAACATAGATATGAATTTCTGCTTCAGTGATTGTATTATATCTGCGATCAACCTGGTCTGCATTCGGACTTTATGGCATACTTCGTTCATAAGAACATGAAATAATCGAAACTTCTCGATCCAATCAAGACCAAGGAGATTCAGGTTCGGTCAATCAGTCAGATGGTAGGTTCCCTTTGTGTTGATGCCTCGGAACAAAATGTCGCATTTCATTTCACCAGTTATTTTCAGTGCGCCTTCTAAAGCATTTTTCTCTTTTTTGGTAGATGAAATCATTTTTGGCCTCCCATTGCGGTTCCATGCGCATAGGGAAATTAAATTGATGTCTGAGGCTGTTTCCAACTGCAGTTTACCATTGATGTGAACAGTGAGAAATTTTCTCTTTGGCTAATAGTCTGTTTAAAAAGCTGCAACAAATTAGCGCGCTTCTGAGGATCTTTTTTTGGACTTTCTGTGAACCGTTTCGTTTGGCTGCCTTGACTGTGTCTAGCTGACCAGCATCATTCTTTCTTGTGACCCCGTTTATTGCACATTGACAGATGTGCATTTTGAATGGGCATAAACGTACAAAATGCCATTGGCTACACGACCAAAGTTAAGAAGGTGGCTTACTGTTGGAGCGTTTCAAGGATTTGAACTTTATCATCGATGGCTGATTCTTTGACAATGCATTGCTTGAACGTCAGCTGTGGAAGTTTTCTGTTCGACCAAAACAGTGTCATTTTTCAGGGAGATAAGACTTTTGCAATTGGCCACGAGAGACTTCAGGTTCATATCCGGGTCTTTATCCAGTCTGCATATTAAGCGGGTACGAATGTCGGCATCTTCTGGATTCTGCGGTGCTGTGATGAAAACGAGGCACTTTAATTGCTCATCGGTCAATGAGCGAAGTTTGAAACGTTCGCAGTCACGATTGACGCTCTCAGCAGGCATTCCATAATCCTCTTCACCTTGTTTACCAATTTTCAGACATTCATATCAGATACTGAACAGTAAAGCTGAAGATTTCTCAAATTGTGCTACCGCTTTATCAAATTTCAAATCCCTTGGTTGTTGGAGAATAATGTGGTTAACAAATCCAGTGTTACTTGGTTCCAAACTTCCGGATCAGCATGCGGACTTTCCATGCCTTGTCTTCACAACTGAATTCTGTTTGGAACACGTCTTCTCAGTGTTTGAACCATGCCTCGAAAGTGTGACCAGTTTCAGGATCATAGCTGAATTTAGTGGTTGAATTTGCAAGCATTTCGCTAGAGCTAGGGGGAATTCACGCGAAAATGGTTATGTTGTTCACAGGTTGAGCCACTGCGTCAATGATTCAATCAGTTCCAGTTGATCCTCCATTTGCTTCTTTTACTGCATTAACAGGATTTGAAATTGGTTTGCTGAAAAAATCAGTGAAATTTCCGATTTTTCCGTTGCCATTTGTTATGTCTTATACCAAGACACAGCTGAGAAACAACAGTCAGAGTGTATTGTTGAACATGAAGCAACACGCAAATATATGTGGTAAATTAGGCGTATGTGGAAAGATGTGATGACGCACTAATCAGATCGCAACCTTGATACTCAGGTTGATCGATTGAACGATAGCCATTTGATTTGCCTTACTCATCCAATCAGGAATCAATTCGGCTTGGACGTCACGAGCTCACTTGTGGTGTGACGCGGGTCAATGCGTGACGGGACGGATTCTGTGCGCTTCATCCTAACACTGTGATAATGTGACTTCTCTTTCCAAAAGGTTCATTAAATAGTAGGTTGTCAACCAGGTAAGGGTCGTAGGACAACACATAATCCAGTCTGAATGGTGTGCCCTCGTTACTCCGCCAGACTCCTCCAAACAATTCCAGGAAGCGGATCTGCATAGCCCTGGGCTGTGTGACTCGCATGGTAAATCAATGGGAGGTTGAAGTCTCCCATGAATAATTTGTTACTGTAGCCTAGCTCGGTGGATCTTCCTATGTAAGCTAAAATCTGTTTATCCTCAATTACACTAGTGCTTGGGGGTCGGTACAATACACCCGCTAAATTTACTTGTGATCCTCGATTTTGATGGAGACCCACAGACATTAAAGGTATTCATTCAGGGATGGGTTGGTCACTAGTCCCAATTGAAGACAGTGAGCCACGTTAAGTATGACTCCCCCACCTTAACCTTTTGATCCGTCTTTTCTGTAAAAACGTATACCGAAAATTGCAACTTCGGATTCTAGTATGCCTTCGTGCAACCAGGTTTCCGTTAGTGCGATGAGTTTCACGGGGCTTCGTTCGGTCAGTAGCTTTAGTTCCAGGATACTATTTCTTAGGCTCTCCAAGTTTGTGTAGACACAAGCGATCACC